TGATGCGGACAGTGCAAGACGCTTCGTTGCATTCTGCAACTATTATCGACGTTTTATTAAAAACTTTTCTGATTATTCACGTCACATAACAAGATTATGTAAAAAAGGCGTACAGTTTGAATGGACATCAGAATGTCAGAATGCTTTCGATCATTTAAAAACGGCATTGATGAATCCAACCTTGTTACAATATCCAGATTTCACTAAGGAATTCTGTAAAATAACAGATGCAAGTAAGCAAGCGTGTGGAGCGGTTTTAACTCAAAACCAAAACGGACTCCAACTTCCCATTGCATACGCATCAAAATCCTTTAACAAAGGAGAAAGTAAAAAAAGTACTACTGAACAAGAGCTAACAGCTATTCACTGGGCGATAACTCATTTTAGACCATATATTTATGGTAATCATTTTACAGTAAGAACGGATCATAGACCACTTACATATCTATTCTCAATGGTCAATCCGAGTTCTAAACTTACTCGTATGAGGCTTGAATTAGAGGAATATAATTTTACGGTAGAATATCTGAAGCGTAAAGATAATCATGTAGCGAATGCGTTATCAAGAATAACCATCTAAGACTTTAAAGACATACAAAATAAAATCCTGAAAGTCACTACCAGATACCAAAGTAGACAACATTTCTGCGCAGAAAATAAAAAAGTAGAATTGCCAAGGCAATCTACAGAAAAAGCTTCTCAGCCCAACGTATACAACGTCATAAACAATGACGAAGTACGAAAAGTAGTGACCTTGCATATAAAAGATTCGGAATGTTCCCTTAAACATGGAAAGAAAATTATTGCAAGAATAGATATTGGTGATATATATACAAATGGAAATATTGATTTAGGTCAACTATTTCCAAGGCTCGAGAAAGAAGCCGGTATATTACAAATAAGCCAATTAAAAATAGCACCGTGCGAAAATATCTTTGATGACATTTCAATAGATACTTTCAAAAATATGGGCAATAAGACATTGAAAACATTGAGAGTAGCGCTACTCAACCCGGTGACTATAATAAATAATGAAAAATAAATAGAAGCTATACTGTCTAAATTTCACGATAATCCAACACAAGGAGGTCACACTGGCATAACAAACCCTTTAGCTAGGATTAAAAGATATTATTATTGGACAGGTATGACTCGATACATTACTGAGTATATACGAAAATGGCCCAAATGCCAAAAATCCAAACTGACAAGAAATATAAAAACTCCTTTAACTATTACAGTAACACCTGTACTTACCTTTGACAGGGTTATAGTAGACACGATTGGTCCACTACCCAGGTCAGAAAATGGTAACGAATACGCAGTCACATTAATTTGTGACTTGACTAATAAAAATGCTAATACAGTAGCAAAGGTAATATTTGAAAATTTTATTCTGAAGTACGGTCCAATGAAGACCTTCATTACGGACATGGGAACAGAATATAAAAATGCAATTATAAATGATTTGTGCAAATATTTAAAGATTAATAATATAACATCTACTGCACACCACCACCAGACCGTTGGAAGAGTTGAAAGAAGTCACAGAACTTTCAATGAATATATACGATCTTATATATCAGCTGATAAAACTGATTGGGACGTATGGATTCAATATTTCGTATACTGTTTCAACACGACCCCCTCTATGGCACACAACTATTGTCCATATGAATTAGTTTTTGGTAAGTTGCATAATTTACCAGACGATTTTAGTACTATAAATAAAATAGATCCTTTATATAACATAGACGATTACGCTAAAGAAGTTAAGTTTAGATTAGAATAAGCCTATAAAAGAGCAAGAATAATGCTCGACAAAAAAAAAAAACTAAGAATAAAGAAAATTATGATAAAAAGGCTATAGATTTCGAATTACAAATAGGAGATAAAGTTCTATTAAAAAACGAAACTGGCCATAAATTGGACCCAGTATATTTAGGGCCCTATAAAATAGTTAGAATAGAAGACAGGGATAACTACGTAATTGAAAATGGGAAATTAAAAAAAAACCCGGCTTGATCAACTGAAAAAAAACTACATTTTACATTTCAATTTCAAATTTTATATAAAAAAAAAGAGAAAGTTTAATTAAAGTAATTCTTCTCAATATTACAATTTTAAATTTGAAAACCTTTAAAAACAATAAATTAAAATAATTCCACTACATTACGTTATTTTCAAAAGGAGGGAGATGTAATATGCACATATGTCATATATATCGAGTGTACACTGTGATTACCACAATAAACAAAAACAAACTCAAGTGAGCGCGTAACATGATCGGCCACTTGTGAATTCGGCTAAGTCAGCATATGCACGCTGACCGCCAGTGCCCTATGCATAAGTGCATAATACTCTCTCTCACTCTAAAGTATTTACGTAAGACAAAGCATGCATGTCCATTGTCACCTAAGCATAAGTATATACATATAAGAAATATATAATGCAGCCGCGCCGCTGCCGGCTCAACCGGCAGCGCAGTGCGCGCTGAACTTATGTACTTAGGGTAAGAGAACATTTTAATAATAAAAGATTATTATAAAACGTAAATCCAAACTGCACTGACGTGCAAGACTTTTCATTGAACTTCAACTTACAACCTAACAGCTCGAAGATACAACAACCTAACATCTCGATATACAACAACACATACTTAATTTCGTAGTTTGTAAAATTTTTCACTCGGTACTATCCCCGTGTTCCGAACCGTACGATAGACGGCAGCGCTCATCGGTCGGTTGGGCGGGAGGTGGGTTGCACGTCAAGCAACGGGAGTCACGCGAAAGTTCAAGCCTTCTTCGGCGCATAAATAATAATGAGCTATAAATAAGTATGCTACATGAATTCACTCCCCTAATAAGTTGTTAGATAATAAAACCAATGAAGGCAGTAGAATTTTAATTTGAATGCGCGGGCGTGCCTTAACCAGGGGAACACTACCATGACGAAACACGACCAACGGATTACCAAGAACGGCCTCACTGTCCCCAGCCGAAGGGGTATATAAGGATGACCGGTTTCTTAGGAAAGATCACTTCGGCAGTCAACCGTGATCAGTTCAGATCAGCTGTGTAAACTGCTGGCGACAGCGATAGTCACTTATTGGCCAGCCTAGTGCTGGGTCTTATAAATTTCCCGTGGTCCTACCGAGACGACATCTCCAATTGGCACCAGCCCGAGCTGCGTCTGTTGTAGCGGCTCTACGGATCTCTACATTCTCTCCTGTAGCGGGTCTTCGGATCTCTACACACATCATCTCTCAAACAAATATCGGTAGGACTGTTCAATACTGAACACAGGATCACAGATAAATTTGAGTACCGAACGCATCAATGCTATCACTAAAGCATAAAAATGCCGGCATTGGCATTTGAAGCATTGTAGGTAATTCAAAAACTAGTGAAGCACTTGTGAACATATTGTGAAGTAACAACACGGGGAGTACACCCAACGAATGGAGGCATTTGTACTATATCTTATTATAGAAGATTAATCAGCCCAACGAATATATCTTGCAAATACGGAGGTGCTAAGAAACTATGAGTTTGCAAACTCGAGTTTTAACAAGCCAAGAAGAATCGACATGTTAATTAGGGCAGAGCTAAACAATACGATGTTACTTCCAGAGCAGAAACTCACAACAGCGAAAGATCCAATTTTGCAGAACACGAAGTCCGGATGCATCGTAGCAGCTAGGGTAAACTTCAACGGTAACACTTCTACCATATGCGCAATATATTCCATCCAATAAACTAACGATCTAATTGAAATATTTAAAGGTTAGAAAACTTTGACACAAACGAAATGCATCGAACCCCAGTATAGGTGCACTGCGAAGACCATTTTATAGAAATACGTGGTATTTTAAAGATGCAACTGCCAAGCCTACTCTAACGCCCACAAACCAAGGAAAACTGTGGTGTTTATAATATTATAATGTCTTTCTTCGTTTGTCCTTGTATGAAATTGCCTTGTCAATATCTATCGATTTACCAAAGTTTTTCTTTAAATCGGAAAATTATTCCGCTATTTATTGAGACTTGTAGGTTATAAGGCCTCACATGGCCAGTGACGTCACCATCAGTTAGTAAAACTGTTTTTTTTTGACAAAAGGTGGCGTTTTGTCGATTTCCACTGGCAAAATGAATACTTTAAAATAGAATAAAACAGTAACGAACGATAATAATATTGATAGATATAGATTTTTTTTAAATAACTCGTAAATTATATTTAAACATAACTTTAATATTAATATTTGTTAGATTTGGTTTGTCATAAGATCAACCTCTGTTCACCGTGTGTGAAGCAGCCCATCCAAAGGCGAGCATGTTGTGCTCGCCGAAATTTTTCTCGTTGATGGTATTGTTCGTCGTCAAATTTCGTGTTCGCCAACATGAAATTGAAATCATTCTATTTTGTCCATGCTCGCAACAACATGCTCACCAATGGATGGCAACGTTGTCAAGAACATCATTTGTGAGATCGTTTCCTAGAGAGATGACGTGTTTGTGCAGCGCAAAATGAGCCAAAAACTTCTGCAAGAATATATTTTTTGTCTGCAAAATGAGCCTGCTATGTGGAATGCAAAATGCGAGGCGAGCAAATATTTATTGCCATCAGTGCAATTACAGTGCCGCTAGCGTCGTCCGCTGACATGTTGACTGCTTGAAAATTTGCCGACAAATGATGTTCGTGGATGGCCATGTGTGTATGTCATACACATCGTGGCTCAATTTGCTGCCAACCTATTTATTATAAAAATTACAGGTATCGGATAGTTTATTTGTTTATGAATCTGCTATATCAACGTAATCACCAACAACAAAAAATAACTGCATTTCATATTCAGCGTGGCTTAAGACACTGTTGTCGCAAGGATCTTTTTATTTATGCTCGTCACTTAATAGGACGACTTTTGCATAATAACTTCCTCCATTCCTTATACCAGTATTACCCGCAAAACAAATAATAAATATTAATAGAAAATAGAAGAATTTTACGTTTTCTTGACTTAAAAATTATGTCAATTATTAACTTATAATTATTTGCCTTTACTTCTTGAAATTGTTTACTTAAGATCTTGGAAATTTCACATTTCTTATATTTTGTTTGCACTTTTATTTAAATTTGATTTCCAACCTGCACCAATCGTCCTGAGAACTATACATTATTGTTTAAGATGCATTCTTATGGCCATTCTCCGCCGCTTTATTCTGTAAGCTTGGACAATTTGAATTTTTAGTATCACAAACCAATTTCTGCTGTTGTTTTTGAGACTGCTCTAAACGTACCTTGTACGTATAAAGGGTCTGTAATGGCACATGGAGAAGCTCAATAATTTGAGTAAAGTCTACCACTGCAAAAATAAATAATTAATGTTTAAGCAATTGTTCCAAATAGTTACAACCATTTTTACCGTCATCTGCAGTTATGTATCCGTGTCGAATAAGAAAATCAATAACCACCGGCGCTGAAGTTGTTTTGAAATCTGTAGTAAAAACTCGCTCCACACACTCCTTGGCAGGGAGAAGCTCGAACGCCTGCACCTCTCCATCTGCATTTTGTGGAACGAATTCGAGCGGTAACTCTAAGTCAAATACATATTCGGTGTTAGGAAATAGGCCTTGTCGGCTTTCAAAATAAAATGATACACAGCCCGCGGACACCAAATTCTTCACAAGATCACTCGGAATTGATGCCTCCTCAGCAGCTTCCTTAATGGCTGTCTCCTTAATGCCAAATCCTACAGAAAGACCACCCCCTACCATATTGTCCCACTTTCCAGGCCACGTCTCTTTTGTATTTGATCGCTGCTGTAGCCAAATGCATAACCCAAGAGTTGGATGCCTAACGTAACCGTTGATATCGACGCCATACTTCCGCACACCAAAGAGCGGGGTTGCCGCTCGTTCCATTTTTAGTAGAGCCCTACAATCGGACTTCACCTCAAAGTATTCATCCCTCCATCCCTGTAAGGCAGGAAATAATCCCTCAGTGCGTAGAACTCGCAATACCTTTTCTAGTTGCTCGGACCGCTCGTTGTAGTCACGGAACGCAGGATTCAATTCAACCAAACCCTGTAGTTATTAAGTATGAAATTTTAAGTTGAATTCTTAATATATATTACACTCACCTGTTTAGTTTGCTCACAATCACGGATGGAAAATACTTCGGGGTACTTCACGAGATGCTTAAGAACATCTGACTTTATTAGACCAACTTGCTGACCCTCAACCACAAATGGACGACTGTCACATTTATGAAAACCTGTGTTGAAATAAGAAATGTTTATTATTTAAGTATTCTTAAATAAATTCTTACAAATTCAGTTTTTAATGTTAAAACATAAACTGCTAACGAATTTTCCGAAAAACTGTTTTCACAAAGGAATTTATTTACATTTTTTCTTTGCTTTCAAAAAACAACACTATATAAGAAGTAAAATTTCAATCTAAAAAATTAACTTTTAGTTAAAATTTCAAGCAGTTTTTTATAAAAAATAAAAAATACTGTACATTAAATTTAAAGTGCTATTTTTAAAAGCTAAGTAAAACAACACTTTAGTCGAACTAGTGGAAATTAACTGTATTAGTAACTGATGGTGACGTCACTGGCCATACGAGGCCTTATAACCTACAAGTATTCATAAATAGCGGAATAATGTTCCGATTTAAAGAAAAATTTTGGTAAATCGATAGATATTGACAAGGTAATTTCATACAAGGTCTAACAAAGAAAGACATTATAATATTATAAACACCACAGTTTTCCTTGGGTTGTGTGCGTTAGAGTAGGCGTGGCTGTTGCATATTTCTATAAAATGGTCTTCGCAGTGCTCCTGTACTGGGGTTCGATGCATTTCACGATGCATATTTCACGATATTATACTAATAATTTTTGTGCGTAAAAAATGACTTTTTTGCGTTATTAAGGAAATTATCTAGTATTTAAGTTAAAACTTGTTAAGTTTATGTTTAAAATATATGCTCGAAATGTATATCTTTCATTCGAGATATTACGTTTTAATTTCCGTTACGTATTTCTCGAGATATTAGTGAATAATTTTCCAACTCATGGGTTTACGAATAAATTATGTACCGACTGTAGATCCGAGTGAATTAGTATAGATGCAAGGGAAAGTTAGTTTTGTGCTAAATAGATTAGTAACAAAACTAGAGCTATGTCATGCAGTGCATAAGTGGCTATTTGGGGTTTTAGGCCATTTGGGTAATTGCTTTGCATTTAGAGCCGTTAAGTCCCCGGGGATGAAGCTTAGAATACGGCAGACAGTGAATTTTTAAAAAAGAATTCATTGCGTTCTACCAGTGAGGCAACAGCGGGCAACAGCGGATCCGATAAGTTTTCCCAAAAGAAGGCTGTGATTTACGAAGACAAATGCTTTACTCAAATCAGTGTAAATGAGATCTCTGTTTTGAGGAGAGTATTAATTTATGCCATCTCTTTTTAGAAATATTTTATAATCTATAGTTTCACAAAAAAGCGTCGCCGTGAACAATGCAAAAGAAAAAAGCTGAGAGATTTTATTTTCTATTTGAGCAGCGCTGTGACTGCATTTTTACAACGATGAAGAATAAAATGCAATGAAACGAGCCGAGCGAACAGCGACTCGCGAGATCTTATATCGTCTTGTCTGCAAATAAAATAGATAATTCAGCACACAGCGATGCTGACCAAATTGTAAACTATGATTTTAGATGGCTGCCCCCGACATATTCTGAAGAGCTATACTTCCAAGCGAAGTATGTAGAAGTATCGTTGCCCGCTTGCAGAGTCCAGAGCTTGTGCGGATCACCACAACTTGATCGACGCTCATCAAATTGTAAACCATGATTTAAGATGACTGCTCCCGACATACTCTGAAGAGCCATATTTCCAAGTATCGTTGCCCCCTTGCACAGTCCAGAGCATCATCTCCGGAGACGGTGCTTTCGAGGCGGTACCCGTAAGGGGGTAGGTTGTCCCCCTTCATGAGGACTACGCTGCCTAGCTGTATTCGTCTTGTATACCCTCTCTACATCTGGTAGCTGAAACAATGACTAAACGTGTGCCTGGAAATGTAACAATTTATTATCAAAACGTAAAATCAATAGATCTAATTCCCTGTCACAATTCCTCTCAGTGGGTTCCAAGGATCAAATTGTGTCCAACGCTGCGCCATCAAAGCAGGAACGAAGATGCTGGAATTTTTCTACATTTGACAAGTCCTCGTTTGTTCCCACCACCGTGTTGAACATAGCGTAGGGGTCCGACCAATCGATGTATGCTCCACCAAACCGCGGAAGCTTAAATTCCGGTAGGCTTCGAATTGCTTTTGAAGGCGGCACTGATGCCATGCAATTCATTAGAATTTGCCATGGATTATTTTTCTCGGCAGATTCTCCCTTTCGTTTCATAGTACGCGGTGGCTTCTTATGCGCGCGTCGGATTGCATCTCCTCGATTACTAGCTGTTCAAGGTTAAGTTGGGAGCAGTCAAAGTCGGACTTCATTTTCTCGACTAGCTCTAACCGCACCAACAATTCAATTTTATCGAATTTGGCCAACTGATCGTCACTCAAGAATGTATTTAACGCTGCAAGTTGACGCGCCACGGAGCTTGACTTTGCCCGATAAAAGACTTCGTTATCTGGGGGACGTTCCACAAGCTCTAGCTTAACTTATAACCGAAATTAAGTAACGCTCGGCGTTGCGTAATAGTTTTCGAACTGTACAGCAGCCAATGCTGGCTGTAGCCTTGATTTGCAGGACTATGCGAATACCGTGCAATCAAACCGTATTGAGTTTATGTGGTTGACCTTTACCACAGTATTGTTGCTTAAAATTTGTATACCAATATACGAGTATAATAATTTCTTAATTGTCACACGCATTCACGATCACGTTGGGGTCATCAAATGTTTTGAGGAGGGCATTAATTTATCCCACCTTTGTTTTTATAAATATTTTATAATCTGTGAATACACAAATAAGCGGTGCCGTCAACGGTGTAAAAGAAAAAGGCTGATAGATTTTATTTGCTTATCTCGGCTTGTCTGCAGATAAAATAGATACTTCAGCTTACAGTGATGTTGACCAAATTGTAAACCATGATTTCGGTATTAACAAGATGGCTGCTCTCGACAATCCGTTAGAAGTTTTTTGGAAACCACTGAGCACGAAAAATGTTAGATCAGAAGGTAAGGTGTGGTAGTCCGTTGTTTCATAAATCCATGTTGTCATGAAGATATGACAGATCTACACTGGTGGTGCAAGTGAGGAATAATAAGTGATTCTTTCCAGAGAGTTGGAAACGTGAACGATTCCCATGAAAGGTTAAACATTTTCAAAAGAGGTTTGGCCAGGGTAGACGAACAGTACCACACAGCCCGGTACCACGCCTGGAGGCGGCGAAATTACCGGCTTCAAGTTCTGGAGATCCTTTATGATTCCACATTCCGACAAGGTGGGTCGGAAATGAGATTGGACCGGGAGATATTATAACTGTAAGTCTGTGGGGTTGCTATCAAAGGTGAGTAGTTGGTTTGAAAAAACTGAGGAAAAAGATTGGCAATGTCCTGATCCGTACTTGCAGTAGATTTTCCAAACGATAGCAAAGACGAAAAGGATCTAGGCTTACGCTTGGTGCTAACGAAACTACAGTACTTTTTCGGGTCCAGATCTGAATAGTCCTTCTAATACTCTATAATCTTATACCATATAAGACGCATAACTTAATTTTTTTTTTTAAGTCAACTTGATATTTTTTAGTTCAGTGAGGTGCCTTGTATACCAAAGGGGTTTTTCCGCCACAGCTGGATACTGCATCGGAACACAACGATAAAAAATAGGTTAATTGTACTATAAAATATGTCTCAGATTGACGACATATCGGTACATGCTTTTAAATCGGACCAGTCAGAAACAGAAATACAGTTACTAATGTTTGTAAAATCGGTTTAACGAAAACATCGATTTTTCCTATCAGCGTAATTGTTCTTAGGATTAATAAATAGTCCCGTTTTGATCACAAGATCTAATGTGGGATGATAAGGATCTTCAGAGAAGAAGCACAGATGTAGTCCACTATTTGTTTCCCATTAACCAAAGCTTTTTGTATGTATTAGAACTATTAGAGCAAAAAAGTTGGGATAAAGTATGCATACTCTTGAGATCCCAGCACATACCCGTGGTATTATCCCGCCGCATTTCTAATGCGTATAAGCCGCGGAAACTGTGGCGTCAATAATATTATACTGAATGCCTTGGATTAACTTTGTATATCATTTTTTGTTAGTATCTATCGATTTACCAAAGGTTTTTTTCAAATCGAAACATTATTTCGCCATGTGTAAAGAAAGGAAGGATATAAGGCCTCACATGGACAGTCACGTCACCATTAGTTGGTAAACACGCTATTTTAACAAAATTTGGCGCTTTGTCCATTTCCACTAGCAAAATAAATACTTTAAATACTTTGTCTAATGACACCACCATCTTACAACTTCAAAAGAGTCCCCATTACTCTATCAGGGAACAAGACCAAACTGTTATAAAACATATGATAAACTTAAACTATTAGTACCGCATGTACGCATGTGTAAGGAGGGGAGCGGGACCTAATAAAGCTTTTTCACTTAAGTGCATTCGGGCTCCGTTCTTCCTCTCAAAATAGTTGCTGTGCCTACTCTCGGATTAAGTACATGTAAGACCGATAATTCAGCATTCACATTATTTTTTTCAGTGATGCTGGGCAAAAACAAGCAGTGATTATAATTTAAACTAAGTGACTGCTCCCGACATGCTTCCACCGTTAGAAAAGCCATACTTCCAAGCGAAGTGGTTTCAAGGGGCACGACTTGTTTGCAAGTTTTGCGTCCAAAACGGTCTACTTAGAGTTAATGTCTGACCCCACCACTGATGCGTTTTATTGGTTTTTGAAAGGTTCGTGAGTCGCCGCGTGATTCTGGAGGTGTGATGCAACAACGCAACCAATTCCATTGGCGAAGACCGTCATCTAAAAGGGGTTCCGAGCCCATATGTAGGAGCAGTAGGGCCCGTAGTAGGGCAGTCTACAAGCATTCTCATCTAAAAACGAATCTAGTTTACGTTCCCAGAGCACCTCGATTTGGTGGTTTATGGACTATAGGAAATGTTGCAACTTTTCCTGGCCAAAAACCATTTTTTGAAGGTTAACAAGGGGAAACGCTATAGTCGAGTGCCGCGACTATAAGATACCCGTTACTGTTTTACCCAATTTTAAAATATTAATTTTGCTATTCACAAGGAAATTTACAAGGCGCCACCTATTGTCATAGGAAGTATGTTGAGTATGCTTACGGTGACGTCACTGCCCATGTGAGGGCTTATAACCTTAATTTCTTTATAAATAGCGAAATAATGTTCCGATTTGAAAAATCTTTGATAAATCGATAGATATTAACAGAAATAAGTTATACAAGGTCAAACGAAGGCAATCATAATAATTTTATAGACGCCACAGTTTTTCGCGGTTTGTGGGCGTTAGAGTAGGCGTGGCCGGATGCAACTTTGTGGCAAGTTGCAGGGGCATCTCTTAAATACGTGTTTCTAAGCAAAATTTTGTAGCTCTTATGGTTTTTGAGATTTTTGCATTTTTGGTTTATCGGGTTTTGTGGTCGTTAGAGTGGGCGTGTCTTGAACGGAAAAAACTATTCGCATTGGGAGCATCATAAAAACCTACATGCTTTATTTGAACTTTCTATTTATTATAGTTACCGAGATATCAGCTTTTCTAGAAAATCTGAAAATCGTCTTTTGAGCCTTGTGGGCGTATGGGTGGGTGCGGCCGGATGGTAGTACCACTATTAGATGCGCTGGCATCTAAAGATTATACTTTTTGAATTTCACCTTTCTAGCTCCAATAGTTCCTGAGATTTCAGCAATTTTAGTTTTTTGCGATTTGTGGGCGTTGGAGTGGGCGTGGCACGATGGTGTAATAAACTGGCGCTGTCCCGGGACCTCAAGAATCTTCATGGTTAATCTCAACTTTGAATCTCTTATAGTTCCTGAGATCTCAGCGTTCATACGGACGGACGGACGGACATACGGACATGGCTCAATCGACTTCGCTATTGATCCTGATCAACAATATATATACTTTAAAGGGTCGCAAACGCTTCCTTCTATCTGTTACATACTTTTCAACGAATGTAGTATACCTTTTTACTCTACGAGTAACGGGTATAAAAATAAGTGCAAATTGTGCTCATGCAAAACAGTTTAAGACACCCGAAACACTGAAAACAGTTGAAGACACCCGAAACTCTCATCCCGAAACATGAGTGTTTCAAATAAATTCTTGTTTGCTTTTATGTGTTTCGGGTGTCTGTGCAATAGAATCGTCATCAAGCCATCTACCAGCTACTCGCAGGACGATTAGCGAAATAAAGATCCGAAATAAAAAATCTTTGGTAAATCGATAGAAATTGACAAAAATATGTTATACGAAGCTATCCGTTTATTGCAGGACAGGAATACATATCATAAGTCAATCGCCCTGCGAGTAGCAGGCAAATGGTTTGATGATGACACGAAAAGTCCTAAAATATTGGACTTTCTGAAGGGGCTATATTCATGTAAAATAATTGGGACTTCCTTCCTTCCTTTCATGTAAAATTATTCGATCAATCCTCAATGACATGCTCATGCAAAACAGTTGAAGAAACCCGAAACACTTATTCCGAAACATGAGCGTTTCGAATAGTACCCTTTTTTGCTTTAAGTGTTTCGGGTGTCTGGGTAAATAGTTTAGGCTTATGAGCACATTTTACAAATTACAAGTATAAGGCAACCACCCTTACCACCCAACCACCCTCTAAGTGCCGAAAACCCACAAATGATTCGGGTTCACTTATTTTTTGGGTGTACCCTTGCCGTTACTGCTTAAGCGTTTTGGCATATTTTGAATATTTTTTTTTGATGTATTTGGGGTTAATTTCTCCAACTTTAAAGTTGAAAAACCTAGTATTAATGTTATCCACTGTAAGTGTTATGTACATATGTATGTACCAGAGTGTGATCGGCACCCTAAAATAAGAGTGGATGTTTTGCACAGCTCTATTCGAATGTGCACTTGCCACTGAGATGAGTTGTAGACACCCGAAACATTCCGATCAGTTGAAGACACCCGAATCACTCATACCGAAACATGGATGTTTTAGACACTCCCTTCTTTTGCTATAAGTGTTTTAGGTGTCTGTGCAATAGAATCATGTGCATAGAATTGAGTGGGTGACAAAAAACAAATACACAAAACACCCAGAGCGATCTGCGCGTTCGGGTGTGTTGCTCTTTTCTTGCTGTTCGTGAGTGCGACAAACACTCGAAATGTATAAGTGTGATTCGGGTGCCGAAAAAAGACACCCTTGACGTTCTCTGGTATATACAGTGGATCCAAGCTTATTGCGTGCAAGAAAAAATCGAAGTTTATATTTGATACTGCACTAAACCAGCAGAGATATCAAAAAAAATTTAAACGCAGTAATGTTAAGAATGTCGCATATAATTAAAATAATAACAAAGTTTTTTCTAATTTAAAAAACAAAAGAATTTTTCATACAAAAACTAAAAAATAGGGCAATTCTGACGCACAAGCTTATTTCGTGCAAGCACTTTAATGGTAAATAACTCTAAACTACGACTTTTAAATCCATTTTTTTTCTTAATACTAGTAAAACTATATTAACAAAAGCATATTTATAAGTTTTCGAGGCTGGGGGCACCCAAAAATTACGGATTAACGAGGATTTTCAAACTGTGGCGCCACGAACAACTATTGAGCAAAGCGAATTAGTCCTTAAACATTTTAAGGATGGGAAAACACAGGAAATGGTTGCCGCAAGCCCTAGTACAAGCCCATACATAACCCTAACGCTTTTTTGCGAAAATCGGGTGCCAGATAAGAGCCGTGATGCACCGAACAACATTTTTAATGACCAGGAGGAGAGACGTATTGTCCGAAAAGTGAAGGAAAACCCCAAGCTTTGCACCAAATTTTCTTTCAAAATAGTTAAATATTTATTGGCATCCACGATTCCGTCAATAAAAACACACTTTCCGACGCCGGACACAGTCATACATGCCCAAACTATAGCATGACCACCGACGTGCTTAGCCGCTGCTTTTTTGTTTTTTGAATGTAGCTCTGTATTGGGACGCCGCCAAACATATTTCCTCCCATGGGACCCAAATATATTACATTTGGATTCGTCCACAAATATAACGTCGTTCCAGACCAAAATCGGACGAGTTTCAAGTTCCTTGGCGAATTTGACGCGTGCCAACTTATTTTTAGCACTAACGAAGGTCTTATTTCTACAAACTCAACCATTAAAGTGGTGGTTATGCTTAGTGCTCCGAACTGTACCTGGGCAATATTTTATGCCAATTTCGTACTCAATCTCCGCAACTATTTTAGGACCCGATACCTTGGGGTTTTTCTTCACTTTTCGGACAATACGTCTCTCCTCTTGGTCATTAAAAATTTTATTCGGTGCATCACGGCCCTTTTCTGCCACCCAATTTTCGCAAAAAAGCGTTAGGGTTATGTATGGGCTTGTACTAGGGCTTGAGGCAACCATTTCCTAGGTTTTCCCATCCTTAAAATGTTTAAGGACTAATTCGCTTTGCTCAATAGTTGTTCGTGGCGCCATAGTTTGAAAATCCTCGTTAATCCGTAATTTTTGGGTGCCCCCAGCCTCGAAAACTTATAAATATGCTTTTGTTAATATAGTTTTAGTAGTATTAAGAAAAAAAATGGATTTAAAAGTCGTAGTTTAGAGGTATTTACCATTAAAGTGCTTGCACGAAATAAGCTTGTGCGTCAGAATTGTCCTATTTTTTAGTTTTTGTATGAAAAATTCTTTTGTTTTTTTAAATAAGAAAAAACTTTTGTTATTATTTTAATAATATGCGACATTCTTAGCATTACTGCGTTTAACTGCTGGTTTAGTAGCAGTATCAAATATAAACTTCGATTTTTTCTTGCACGAAATAAGCTTGGATCCACTGTACATACATATGTTATCCAGTATTTTTATTATAATTACATATATAAGCAATACACAACAGGCTTCCATAATGTAAGCAAAAGAAGAAATCTATGGATATTTTTTAAATGCATGTGTGTGTACATATGTATCTAGAATATTTCACATCTTTAATGCTTAAATACAGTCCAGAGGCCGACACCCGATTCTGGATTTAAACGTAATGTGTACGTTTTCTTACCTGTAAGATAGAAGTTGTTAAACTTTTGCGCCAGGATCAGCAGCCGTGATAGCTTGACGTCGGTTGAAGACATTTAACCAGAGTTCCGATTTTATGCCAACTTAATGACTCTGAGCACCTATTAAATTTTTCCACTTCTACTTGTTTATTTATATAATGAAATAACACACACTTGAATTGATATTTAGCCGACAAAACTCTAAAATGAGAATAGCTGATACAAGCCGCCGAGTGAACGTAATTGATCACACCGCCGAAACCTTCTTGTAGCACTTAACGAGAACAGCTGCTGCCTGACAGTGGTGATGTATTGGTATTCGATTGTCTACAGCTGCATTTTGCCCTGTAAGTTTACGCATATGTAATGTATATCTGTCATTCTGTTTTGAAATGTGCAGGTGTATTTCATTAATATTACCTTCAAAATATTATATTTTCTATATATTTTTTTCACCATAAGCGCCTTCACCGCGGAATAGCCTTAAAAATTACAACAAAATATAAAACCAATTTTGTTCTTCGTCAAATGCATTTATTTTCGGGTTTGACTACTATTACATAAATGAAGCTGTGGTTGGAGCTATCATATTCTATCGATATAAATCGATGATTCTTGTTCACACTGTATCCAATAAATATCTAAAGTAAAAGCTGGATGCGTTTTCGTACATCTCAAAATTGACACGACAGATAACTAATTCACAATTTATAACTTCAAAATCTGCAGATTGTGTTAATTAATATGACTATGCTTTTGTCAAATAAATAAAGTCTTTCAGAAGCAAAAAATAAACGAAAACTAGTGAGTTTTTTAATCACTTGTCACTACAAAATTAATACTACCCACATCTAGAAATGTATGCTTGAAACACTTAATTAAAATGCTTTAAGATATCGCGTTCATTCTTCCCTGTATGCATCTATAAATCTTAAATATCTATTATAACTACTATGGGTTATATCCTGTTGTCGGATACAAATATATCAATTTATGTTCTGAAAAGGTAAAATCAGATTTTCCATCGGTCGAAAGTAATGAATCTGAATCCATTTATGATGCGAAACTAGTATCGGTTGCACAAATTTTAAGTTTCAGGTTTCTCGTGGCAATTACAAAACAATAGAATTTATTTTCATAGTAGGGATGTGAATTTTTATATGGAACTTTAGATGATTTATAGTTCTATTACAACTAGGATTCAAATGTAAAATTTGAATAAGTTTATGATAATTGTATATTATCTTAACAGAATAAAACACTCGCTAATGAACTTGTCCAGTACAGTTATAAACAATTCAACATTTTAAGAATCGACTCAATTCTTAAAACGATCGATTAAATCAATTTAAACTCGAAAACAGAAAAACAAAATTTTGAAATAAGAGAGACATATTTCGCGTAAAAGGTGATGAGAAAAACACCAAATTTACAGTTGCAAACAAATGTAACATCAGCTTAAAAATAAAAAATTAGCTTATTATTTGTTATCAACGTATTTATTTATATTTTTAAAACATATGCGTTTTTAGTTGTGAGTACAAGCTTGTCTACCTTTTTGGGTTTTAAGGAATCTCGGCGGTCGGTGACTATGCATCTATCCAGTGTGGACAATCTACATTAATTATTTGAAAAACGAACATAGTTATCAAACTGTCTTTTTCTTCTCAACACCAGCACGCAATGATTCTGGAAGTGATTAATATTTATTAGTTTTCTTGGGTTATATTACTTTAAAATTACTTTTTCGTTTACTTAGATTTATCCAATCCGATTCGTCTGAGGAATTTTTTAAGGTGACCAAACTTGCAATTTATTTTTTCCTTAAAAATAAATTGTTTTTTTCGCTTATCCAAAAAGATCAATAAAATCGATTTAAGGATCGAATTGTCCACGTTCTATTATCCTGGATAGAGTAGATTACGCTGCAAGATCTGATTTTTCTTGTTTCTGTGTATTATAATATTATATACCATATATTATATAATATTCGATTTGTTATACCCGTTACTAGTTGAGTAAAAGTGTATATTAGATTCGTTGACAAATAAGTAAAAGGTAGAAGGAAGCGTTTCCGACTATATAAGGGATATATATTCCTGATCAGTATCAATAGCGAAGTCAGTTAAGCCATGTCCGTCTGTCCGTCCGTCCGTATGAGCGCTGAGATCTCAGGAAATATTATAGATACAGAGTTGAAATTAAGCAGAATGATATTTAAGTCCCTATACAGCGCAAGTTTATTTTAGCATCCTGCCAAGCCCAGTCTGACGCCCACAAACCACAAAAATATCAATTCGCTGAAGTCTGAGGAAGTATTTAAGCTAGAAAGTTGAAATGAAGTATGTATGGTATTAGGCCTCGAATGAGCAGTGCCGTCACTATCTGTTACTCAGCATTCTTTCTCTGACAAAAGGTGGCGCTTTGTGAATTTCCACTAGTAAAATGAATATTTTAAAATTGTGGAAAACAGTAATGGGCATCCTATAGTCGCGACACTCGACTATAGCGACTATGAATATTTGGTTTTACCTTACGTAACTGTTATCATCAAAATATAATGAACTTAAACTATCGAAAGCGCTATCAACTTGTGACATTTCCACTTCCGCAAAGAACCAAAAACCGCCGAATTTAAAGCGGAATGCATTATCGGGCAACTCTCATCTGGACCCATAATTCGCACGCGGGTTTTGCCTAACTACGTCTTTTCGCATGTCTTAACGCGGTCCCAAACGAAAGCGATGTATCCTCGACGAACGAGAACGCCTCAAATTGGTTCTCTTTTCCCTCTTTTCTGTCCCGGCTTGTTGGGACTCTCTTCTCCAAAATGCTGATCGCTCTCTCATTTTGGGATGATGCGACGGATCGAGAGAGCGTAGATGAGGACAAGGCAGTCGCCTTCGGTAAGCGTCACAGAACGCACGTCTAACGCGGGACATTCTTTACACATCTATGTTCATGATTTAACCATAATCGCATAATTTAATTGGAAACCCCATTTTAAAATGACACCTTTAATTGGAGTACAAGGGGACACAAATTACAATGGGTGCCCATGAAAGGAACCTGCAATTGCAAGCATAACTAAAATTTCTTTATTCTTTGTGTATATGGATCCCGTTAGACGCAGTTGCGTTACGACTCTGCGAATCACTGGAAAAGAGGACGGCGATACATAGGCGAAACAACGGCAGTTTCTGGAACTTTCGAGACGTTTTCTTATCTTCTTTAGTGGGATCTGGTATGCATGACGGGGTAAGTAGGCAAGTTGTGTGCGAGACAAGAATTTATTAAGTTTCCATATTGCATTATTATTTGGGATGGCGAGATGCGCGCGAAGTTCGGTTTTTACACTTGTCAAATGAAAGCTGATTCGGAAGCTCCGATCTTGGAGCAGTTGGTTAATTTGCAGGCAAATCGATTGCAGTCCCTGAAATCCATGTTGAAAAATTTTAGGAAAAAACCACAATTCAGGAAAACAAGAATGGATCGCGCTCAGGGAGACGGATTCGGTGATTGTGAACCTTAAAGGGTTTTCTGATTCGAATTATGCCGCTAAGGATTTCCAGTCGAAATTCGAGGAGCGGTACATGGAAGCCTATTGCGCTTTCGCTGAGGACTTGGACAAACTTGGAACAGAGCCTCGCGCGCCTCCTCCATCAGTGTCTGGGGGCGCCGATGCTGAATTGCCTCAAATGTCAGTTCCTAATTCTCTTGATTGACTAGGCTACTATGATGCCTTCACGAGCCTTATCCACAACAACAAAAATTCGAGTAGTGTTTCAGGCAAATCGCGATAACGACATCCGTCAAATGAAGCTCAAGGAAGGAAACTATTCAGTGGCCTGGGGAATGATGATCAAGAGGTACAACAATCCTCGCCTCGTTTTCGATACGACAACAGGAATCTAATACGCTCGATGCTAAGCACGGTCAATGTTTGCCTGGCTGCATCCCGCCGCGTCCAAGCCTTGGATGGTGAAACGCAGCACTGGTTGGCGCATTGCGTAGCATCAAGGTTACCGACAAGACAAGACAAGACCGACAACGCTTGGGAAGAAAGCGGCGCCATCCATGGAGATGGAGAACCCATATACGTTCATGGACACACCATAATAAAATTGTCAATTGCATAGTCAAGTATTAGTCAATGTTTCAAGTTTCAGTCTGACGCCCACAAAACACAAAAATATCAATTCGTTGAAGTCTAAGGAACTATTAAAGCTAGAAAGTTGAAATGAAATATGTATAATCTTGAGATGCCACCGCACCCTAGGTGTTACCATTATCCGGCCACACCCATTCTTACGCCCACAAAGCATTAACGGCGGTTTTCGCATTTTGTAGAAAAGCTGATATCTCGGTACCTATATGTGATAAAAAACTCTGATTAAGTATGTAGATTTTTATAATGCCACAAATGCTAATTGTTTTTTCCCATCAAGCCACGCCCACTCTAGCGCCCACAAAAACCGGGAAAGCAGAATGAAAAAATCTCGGGAACTATAACAGCAAGTTAGGCTTAAGTTAGTTAGGCTTAAGAATACGTATTTAAGAGATGCCACTGCAACTCAGGACGTGTTTTCATTCGTCCACGCCCACTCAAACAGCGGAAAACTGTGGCGTCTATAATATTATAGTGTAAGCCTTTGTTTGATCTTCTTTGACATCATTTTTCAATATCTATCGATTTATCAAAAATAAATGTAGGTTATTAGGCCTCAAATGAGCAGTGCCGTCTGTCTGTTACTCAACATTCTTTCTCTGACAAAAGGTGGCGCTTTGTAAATTTCCACTAGCAAAATGAATATTTTAAAATTGTTTAAAACAGTAATGGGCATCTTATAGTCGCGACACTCGACTATAGCGACTATGAATATTTGGTTTTACCTTAAGTAACTGTTATCATCAAAATATAATAAACTTAAACTATCGGAAGCGCTATCAACTTGTGACATTTTCACTTTTGCAAAGAACCAAAAACCGCCGACTTTACAGCGGGACGCATTATCGGGCAACTCCCATCTGGACCCATAATTCGCACGCGGGTTTGCCTAACTACGTCTTTTCGCCAGTCTTAAAGCGGTCCCAAATGAAAACAATGAACGAACGAGAACGCCTCAAATTGGTTCTCCAGACAAACAAATTCTCAGCTTCAAACATTCAGCTACGGTGAGGCCTCAGTTCTCAAGCTTATCTTATCGACGAGATTGATGCGTAAGCCTTATGACCCAGGACGCAATCCTTAACAATCGTATGTAGCTTGAAAAACTCTGCTACACTCTGCTACTCTTCTCCAAAAAGTGGCAAGTAGCAAGCCTTATTGCACTCCAAACAGCAAACAGCAAACAAACAGACGACATAATCCTTTATGTTCTTTGATTATTTCTCGGCAAACTCTCTTTAGGGATATCGCCTGACTGCGAATAAAAGAGCGGGATAGCGGTGCCTAATAACGCTTTTTCGCTCAAGAAAATTTTGCAGACGCTCTCACTCTCATTTTTTTGTCAGCAGCATTATATCGAGATAAGATCGAATAAACCGTTACAAAAAGAACTCCCAATCTTTCCCACATAACGTGTCT